GGAGAACACTGAAGTGATATCGCTTTTCTCACTGGCAACCTAATATGGAGGCTGTTAGGAACACACTCAAACTATGTAGCAGGTCTGCAGATGATGTTCTCTAAAACTTGTGGAATTTTGTTGCCCACCTTAGTAATCCTATAATTCCAATGGTGCTTAAAAACAGCCCGATTTCCTAAGTGTGTCTCGTTACGATTTTGTTGAAATTAAATTTTGGAAAGCCCTTAATAAGCCTTCTGGATATGTGATAAGAAACTTTTTTTTACTTCTTACTTAAAACTGAACTCTGACTTAGGAAATCTCAAATCTTCAGGTTTTTGATGACTTAGTTACAAGAAAAGAGGATGTGTAGTAGGTAAAATAGTATATTTCTGAAAAATGAACACTGACAATAAGCCAGTCATTTGTGGATACCAATATTCTGCTTTACTGCTCTAGTTTTGCAGTCAGTTCATCTCACCAGCATTGGGTGGTGTAAAGGCAGATTAAGCACAAACATGACCTAGTCTGGCAAACTCCAAATCTGTAGTCTATTGTGGCTGTTGGAGCAGTCTGGTAGACAGCCCTAACTTGCCAAGGTATCCTGTGTGGAGAGACTGGGTCTGCCTTGTTACAAGCTGCCCTGCTCTCTTGGACCTTGCAAGTTTGTGAAGGCTTAGTGAAGCAATGACATAGTTCACTGCTTGGTTGGCCTTGGGTTTTATGGCCTGAATCACAAATCACCTTCCCAGCCAATTGGCTTTCTGCTCTTTATTTCACAAATGTCTATAACTTAAGACTGTTTGCCTACAGTGGGGACCATACCAGCTTGTGATCTGCCCTTTAGACATTTCAGCAGTGTGCTTATGTTTTATAGTTTCTTTCAGACTTTGATTTGGGTTCCTCTGCTATGTTGGTTACAACATACTGGGGTGAAGCTTTCTTGGGAATATTAAAAATAAAAGGTTGGTCTTTATACTTGCCCTCTTATGTAGATACTGATTTGGAAATTTTTGAGGATCTCCAATTGATTATGAATTTTAGATACTCAGTTTGGAAAACTGGAGAGAAGGGAACAGGTAGTTAGAAATTTAGGCGCAGAATACACACACACACACACACACACACACACATACACACACACACACACACACACACACAAAATACAAAACACTTCATAGAGTATGTATGTGTCAAGCATATTGTTTATGTTGGGATGGAAAATGTGTTGAAATGTGTTGTGTATACATGTGCCAGGCAAGTGTGTAAATGTTAGAGGACAGTTTGCCAGGCCCATGGTCCTGGGGATTGACCATTTATTTGGAATTAGGATGACAGTTTCAGGCTCTGCTGCTTTAAGAGACAGAGCTGGGTACAGATGGACAGATATATGAGAGAACAGTTTAGAGAAATGGTGATGGTCACTGGAAGAGGAAAGACAACACGAATTGATGTGAAGTGGCTTTGACAGCATAAGTAGCACTCTGTATTAGAATCCTGAAAGGTGGATACAGTGGTTTCCAATTATGAGTTGGACTACTCATGGAGAATGAAGTCAGGTGCTAGAGATATTTTCCTCCTTTGCTGGTAGGAATTAGAAGTAACTGCACAGTCGATTGTAGTTTGGACATATTTAAGTTCTCTGTGGGGAAATAGTAAAGAAGTGACAGGGGATTTAGATGTAGAAGTTGATGCTATTACATGGCATCATTGTTCTAAATGCTGATTATTATCAAGTGGGGATGTTACTGTGATTCTCCCAGGATGAATAAAAGGAAAATTGAAACTCAAGGAAACATTTCTTTATATTTGAAAGAATCTTGCATTGTATCAGTTATGTTTCACATTTGAACACATATTTGAATGTATGAAATAAAATACTGTTAGAATAGGAATAATGTTGTGGTTTTATAAAATATTCAGTCTTATATAGCTCATGTTATAAATGTTAGAGATGGTTGAAGTTTCAGTCAAAACTTAACCCATATGTATGACCTATAAGGGCCTTTAAAGGGTTTTGTGTTGTATGGAGCTTTCTAATGTTGACCAGGAGATATGGTGTACTCAGTGGCTTGAGGTATATCAGGCTTGGATTTGTAGACTAGTACTGACATCTCTCATCCCATTTACTTCATTAATACTTATTTTGTGAAGCCAATAAAAGAATTCGGTGTTTTGGAATTACACTTAAAAACACCTATTTAAAAACTCTACATTTTTATGTGATGTGCATAAACAGTTCTAAAGTAGGTGAACATTGTGAAGTACCAGCTAAACATGCTATGATATTCCATAAGGCCCTTGATCGGTGGATCCACATCAGAAGCATTACAAATTGTGTTTTGAAGTAGCGCCATACACTTAAAAATAATAACCAATGAACATTGACACAAAATACTCAATAAAATACTTGCAAATCGAATCCAAGAACACATCAAAAATGTCATCCACCTTGACCAAGTAGGTTTCAACCCAGGCAAGCAGGGATGGTTCATTATACGGAAATCCATCAGTGTAATTCACCATATAAACAAACTGAAAGAAAAAGACCTACATGATCATGATCATCTCCTTAGGTGCTGAAAAAGCATTTGACAAAATCCAACACCCATTCATCTTAAAAGTCTTGAGATCAGAGACATACCTAAACATAGTAAGGCGTATACAGCAGGCTTATATCCAACATCAAACTAAATGGAAAGAAACGTAAATCAGTTTCACTAAAAATCAGGGACAAGACAAAGCTGTCCACTCTGTAGCTCTTCAATATAGTACTTGAAGTCTTAGCTAGAACAGTAAGAGAACGAAAAGATCAAGGTATAGATACAGATTGGAAGTGAAGAAGTCAAATTATTGCTATTTGCCAGTGATATGATAGTATGCATAAGTGACCCCAAAAATTCTCCTAGGAAACTCTTACAGGTAATAAACACTTTTAGCAAAGTGTCTGGATACAACATTAACTAAAAAAAAAAAAAAAAAAAAAGAAGAAGACCTTCTATATAAAAAAGACAACTGGGTTGAGAAAGAAATTAGGGAAACACCCTTCACAATAGTCACAAAAAACATACATAAACTATCTTGGTGTAATTCTAACCAAGCAAGTGAAAGACTTATATGAAAAAAACTTTCTCTGAAGAAAGAACTTGAAGAAGATATCAGGAGGTGGAAAGATCTCCCATGCTCATGGATCTGTAGGATTAACATAGTAAATAATTCTTTATAGATCTTGAAAGAACAATTCTCAACTTCATATGGAAAAATAAAAAACCCAGAATAGCTAAAATAGTCCTGTACAATAAAAGATCTGGAGGTATCTCCATCTCTGATCTCAAGCTGTACTATAGAGCAGCAATAATAAAAACTGCATGGTTTTGGCATAGAAACAAATTGGTAGATCAGTGGAATTAAATTGAAAACCCAGAAATAAACCCACACACCTACAGATACTTGATTTTATTTTACAAAGAAGCCAAAGCCATACAATGGAAAAAGATGGCATCTTCAACAAATAGTGCTACTGGATGTCTCCATGTAGAAAAATGCAAATAGATCCATATTTATCACCCTGCAAAAAACTAAAGTCCGAGTGGATCAAAGACCACAACATAAAACATCAGTAATTAGTAAATTAGTAAATGGAACCTTATGAAACTGAAAAGCTGCTCTAAAGTCAACAGACGACAGCCTACAGACTGGGGGAAAGATCTTCACTAACCTTACATCCAACAGAGGGCTAATATCTAAAATATATAAAGAACTCAAGAAATTAAATACCAACAAACCATTTAATTGGGGGCTTTCTTACAGTTGCAGAGGGTTATTCTATGACTATCATGTTCAGATATAGCCGATAGGCAACTCAGTCTCTATATGGGTTCCCTAGGGGAGCAGGGGCTGTTTCTGATATGGACTCTGTTGCTCACTCTTTGATCTCTTCCTTCTGGCAGGATGCCCTTGCCAGGCCACAGAGGAAGAGAATGCAGCCAGTCTTGATTAGACTTGATAGGCTGGGCTCAGATGGTAGGGAAGGAGGGCTCCCCTTTTCTGAGGACCAGGGGGTCCTAGAAGGGAAAAGAAATTGAGGGTGGAACTGGGAGGAGACAGGGGAGTGGGGCTGTGATTGGGATGAAAATACATTAAAAAATAAAATAAAATAAATAACTATATTATAATAGTTCTATATTAATAATGCCATTACCATTTGGTAAGCTGTCCAGTATTATATATATATAAATTTATTTATTATTTATACAGTATTCTGCCTGAATGTGTGCCTGCAGGTCAGAAGAGGGCACCAGATCTCATCATAGATGGTTGTGAGCCACCATGTGGTTGCTTGGAATTGAACTCAGGATCTTTGGAATAACAGCCAGTACTCTTAACCTCTGAGCCATCTCTCCAGCCTCATATTGTATATATATATTATCTTTATATTTTATAATAGCTATGTAAGGAAGTAATTTGCCCCTATTTTACAGGCTAGAAAGTTCAAGCTTAGTGAAGTGTGAGCTAAGCTTCAAAGCCAATACTCTTGAATCTAAGGTACATTGTAAATTTTGATAATTCTTCCCAAATTTCCTTGTAAAAAGGAAGCCAAATGCTAGGTAAATTCCTAAAACTCACAGGCAACTAGTGAGACTACATTGTTTTTCCTGTTTGTTAGCCAGCTCTTTTTATCTTTCTGGGAATTTCCTAAGCATGTTCTCTGCTGTGTCTACTTTAGAGTTTGTCTAATTTTTATGTAGTTCCAGTGCTGTGTTTCAACCTTTGTTGACTTTAGAGTGTCAAGAATGACAATAGTCTCTTGTGCTTGTTTTTCTCAACTTTTTTCAAGAGCACTAATTGTTTTTTGGATAAAATGTCTAAACATAGTTTATACACATACCATAGAGTGAGTTTATTTCCATGTAGAAAGTGAGATGTCTGAAGTACCTATAGATTGTTTCTGTCAGAGTGTGTTGCCCTGTTACTGACCCCAGAAAGTAGAATTGATTATTTCTCCTTTGTTTCCTTTTCAGGTTTGCCTGCAATGAGATTTTATTCTCTACACTTAAAGAACATTCTTTCTGAGCTGCTGTGAATAAATTTGGAATGGTATTGTCTATTTTCAACTAATGGAGAATTAGCTGTATCTTGAACAAGGATTGCTGTACTGGACAACTTCAGAACATTACTCACAATGTCATCAAACAGGAGTCAGAATCCTCATGGACTGAAGCAGATCGGTCTTGACCAGATCTGGGATGACCTCAGAGCTGGAATTCAGCAAGTATATACCAGACAAAGCATGGCGAAGTCCAGATACATGGAACTCTACACGTATCCTCTTGCTTGAGCTGTGGTTGATGTCTGTAGAGTTTTGATTATTTAGCGGTATGCTCTTTGAATTATTAGGAATGTTATGTCATATTTTGTTCCTTGTTTATCTGTAACAAAATCAAAAGTTCATTTTTACCTTTCTCTTTTTTAGCAGATGTGATTTGGCTAGATATTTAAGGTGGTGCTGGATAGTATCTACAGATCTTTTACATGTGCATGCGTGTGTGCATGTGTAAAGCACACACAGAGAGGACAATTTTAAAGAGTCAGTTCTGCTGGCATAGTGTAGGTCTGGGGGTTGAACATAGGTCTTTAGGCTTGGCAGCAAGTACTTCTACCTGCTGGGGCTCTTGTCAACTGTATAAGCCTCCCCTTAGATCAGCAGGTTCTGTGTCCATAGATTCATTGAACATACTTGAAAAAAGTCTCTCTATTAAGCATGTAGCCCTTTTTTGTCATTATTCTCTGAGCAGTATAACTGTTGTGTAGCATTTGCATTGTACTAGGCATTGTAAATAATCTAGCAATGATTTAAAATATAAGGTGAGGATGCAGGTAAATTATATGTAAATACATTGTCATATTTTATAATGTAATAAATCAGATTTTTCTGTTCTCATTACAGGGTCCTGTAATGAGCACCCTGTTGTTTTAGTTACTCTTCATTTTATTGCCATGATGAGACACCATGACCAAGGCAACTTAAAAAAGAAAATATTTAATTGGGGGCTTTCTTACGGTTTCAGAGGGTTATTCCATGACCATCGAATTGGGGAGCCTGGCAGCAGGCAGCCACATATGGAGCTGGAGCAGTAACTGAGAGCTCACGTCTTATCAACAAATTGGAGGCAGACGAGTTGACAGGGAGAGCTGTTACGAACTTTTGAAACCTCAAAGCACATTCCCACTGACTCAACTTATTCCAACAAGGCCACACCTTCTAATCCTTCAGAAACAGTTATACCAAATATGGAACAAACATTCAAACATGAGCCTATGAGATTTATTCTCAAACCACCACGCCTGTAAACACTGGAAAGTAACTATAAAATTTAGGTCCTTAGCTATAATCCTATTTCTAAGTACTCAATGGCTAAATAATAAAATATAATAAGTTCTATGAGCAATGTTGGCCTAAGTAGGTTTAAGTGCCCATTGTGGCTGCCTTCATGTTACAGGAGAGTAGGGTAGTTGTATCAGAAACAGTCAGATTCATAAAGCCCTAAAATACTTGCTGTCTCTTGTCCTTTACCAGTTTTGAAGGACACACCTAGAACAAAAAGCTTGAGTATTATGTTCCTATTTGCGTTACACAGTACTGAGAGAGTACAATAGTTACTTTTCTGGTTGCTCTGACAAAACAGCTTAGGAAAGAAGAGTTTATATGTGTTTACAGTTCACAGGTCCAGTTCATCACAGTAGGGACGGTATGGCAGCTCTACTGTGGGCACTGTGATCGCAGGAGTGTGTGGCTGCTGGCTGCAGTGTCCAGAGCAAGCACTGTGATGAGTGCTCATTCTCCACTTGCTTCTTTCTCCTTTCAGTCTAGAGATGCTTTGCTGCCTGAGGTGGTGCTGCTCAAACCCAGGGTGGGTCTTCCTCCTCAGCTAATTCTCACAGGCACTCAGAGGTGTTTTGTGTGGTAATCCTGAGTCCTAAGCCGATCCACAATGGAGATTGACCATCACAAAAAGCATTGCATTAGTTTTTGGTTCTTATTGTATACAAAACACTATGCTGTCTCTTGCAAAGGTTATGAAATTATTAAAAGGTATAGTTCCTGCTGCTACGACGTTCAGACACAGTTAACTAGTTTTTTTAAAGATTTATTTTTATTTACTGTGTATGAGTGTTTTACCTCCATGGCCAAAAAGGGTCTTCTGCTCTCCTGGAATTAAGGAATTATGGATTATTGTGAGTCACCGTAGTGAATGGTAGAATGTAAAAGTAACTTTTATTTGCCTGATGTAATTGTTGTCTCCAAAGCTTGCTGGCTCTGTCTGCCAACCTAGACCTACTTCTAGAAGCTTCTAGCCTCCATACAATCTAATCTAGGTCTAGAGTGTTTTCGGCCTCTGAGACTTACTGCCAAATATGCTCACTCTTACTAGTTCTTTTCTGAATTCTTGCTGCCTGTTTTAACTCAGCTGTTTTGGCTCAAACTTCTCTTCAGACTGACTGATTCAAATTGGCTTCTCTCAGTTTGCTTGGCCTCATACTAACTTTGGCAGTATGTTCTAATCTTCTGGCTCCTTATTTTCTGTCTCGTTCTGTCTTTACCAGTGTCTAGCTTGTTCTTTCTTCAACTTCTCTCTATAAAATTGTCTCTTTTCTCCCTTATTCTCTGTGCTGCTCCCTTAAGTAGTTTTCCTTTCCTCTCTCTTGTCTTGAGAGTTGGGCATATCCTATTCTGTCTAATCTCTCTCTAATTTCTCACTGTTTGCCACTCAATTAGACATCACTTTCAAACATGGATGCTTCCTTCTACAAACCAACTTTACCTTCATTGTTTGGGATTAAAGGTGTTTACCACTGGGCTGGAGAGATGGCTCAGTGCTTAAGAGCACTGGCTGCTCTTCCAGAGGACTCTGGTTCAATTCCCAGCACCCACATGGTGTCTCAGTAGCTATCTGTCACCCCAGTTCCAGGGACTATGACAACCTCACACAGACATACATACAGGCAAAACACCAGTGCACATTAAAAAAAAAAGCAAATAAACAAAAAGCCTTCAAAAAAAGGTATGTACCACCATGCTAGGACCTAAGCTTTTCTTTACCTGAAACTTGCTCTATACCAGGTTGGCGTTGAACTCAGAGATCTGCTTACCTCTGTCTGCTGGGAATGAAGCTGAGCACCACCAATCATTCAGTGTGCCTGCATTCAAGCTACATCACATAGTCCTAGAAGGTCTTTGGTTGTGATCTCTTGCCAGAGCAGCCATATTCTGAATATGGCTCTACACTAGTAACTAAACCCTGTTCCTCTGCAAGAGCTACAAGTGTTCTATACTCTTGAGCCTTACTTTGTAGTTTCTTGATTCTATACAAATATAATAAAATTGAAATTAGAATTTACCAGTCAGGCTTGGTAGCATGGGTCTGTAATCCCACCAGCACTAAGGAGGTAGAGTCAGGGTGATTAGAAGTTCAAGGCCATCCTCAACAGAGCAGGTTCAAGGGCAGTATAAAGTACATGAGACCTTCTGAAAAAATAATGAATGAATGAATAACTAAAGCTCAGTTAAGTTAATGGAGCAGATACTGATTCCAGAACTTTACAGTTGCACATTTTATTGGGATGTAAGTTTAAAACTTTTAGTAGATATCAGTACTTATCATCGAATAGGTTATGTGACATTTCAGTTATTTTAATTGTAGAATACTAAAATAACCTAGATAGATAAATATAGATGAAACTATCCAAATTAAATGTATGTATATGCATAATATACACGTATGTTTATATTTAAATACATTTATTCTGTAGGACTTCTTTTAAAAAAAGCAGCTTTGAACGACAGGAGAGATGATAACTCATAGTTAAGAGCACATACTCTTACAGAGAACTTGAGTTCAGTTCCCAGCATCCATATTGGGCAGTTAACAACAGCCTCAGGATCCCAGCATTTTCCTCTGACCTCCATGGGCACACACATTCTATTAATGCAAACTTTAAAAGAAATTTTTAAGGTACTAACAGCTTAATTGAAGTATTCACACACTTAAAAATTAACTTATTTTACAAGTATGCAGTAATTTTCAGTATAGTTAGTTTTATAACCGTCAGTGTCTACATTTAGGATATTTTCTTTTAATTTTTATTTTGTTTTACTTGTGTGAGTGATTTACCTCTAGGTATAAGTCTCAGATTCCTTAGAGCTGGAATTATAGACAGCTGTGAGCTGTCATATGGGTGCTAGGAATTGAACCCAGGTCCTATGGGAGAAGATGTGCTTAACCACTGAGCGAATTACCCAACCCCCTTAGGATATTTTCATTACCTTGAAAGGCTCCTTGTTCTCATTAGCAGTTGAATTTCCATGCCCCCACCCCCTTCTCTGGCAGCCATTGATCTAGTTTCTATGAATTTGTCTATTCTAGACTTCTCCAGTAGACATTTATATAGTATATGGCATTAGTGCCTGGTATCTTTCAGTAAGCATAATGCTTGTAAGCTTCATCCTTGCAAAATTACGGGAGCTTCATTTCTTTAATGACTAGGCTGTATGGACATTTTACATTGTGTGTATGCGTTCATCAGTAATGCCTTCTGTTATTTCCATGTATTTGTTCTAGATACACTGTTATGCACTTCATGTACTAGTTGTTGAATGACCATATTTCACTCATTCTTTTGAGTAAAGTATCTGTTACAGAAATTGCTGGGATACAGATGTCAGGAAAGGAAAATAGACTCTTTGCCAAATGAGCAGATAGTACGTCTTATGGGGTTTGCTTGCTAGGTCTGACTTGTGGCTCACTTGCTTGTAATAGAGCCAGTGGGAAGCAAGATACCTGGTGGGGTTTCTTCTGTGCACAAAAGCAGACAGCATTACTTTGGAGACCAAGGAAACTTCATTGCTGATATATGTGTTTTTTAAAATTTTTATTATTTAAAAATATTTTCCTTTTTGACAGGGACTCACTATTATAAGAGTCCAGACTAGCCTTAAATTTGACTCTCCTGCCTCAGCCTACCAAGAGCTAGGATTATGGGATTACAGGTGCCTGGCCCTGGGAAATTATTTTAATTGATTTCTTAATTTGAATCCAAGACAGCCAAGGCTACATAGAGTACCCCTGTCTCAGAAAACCAAAATAAAATAAAATAAAAATGTAAAAGGAAAACAAAGGGGGGAAAAAAAGAAATTTTTACTGACTTCTTTTATTCTGTAGATAACTATAATTTATTGCTATTCTGATACCTGAAAAATTTTTAGTCTTGAGCCCTTGTTTTCAACTAGAGTTCCCCATTAGCACTTCTAAACAATTTTGTCT